AAGTATTCATATTAAACTTTATGTTTAGACTTTTCCCCTAATTTGTCTACTTGGGATTCCTGAGTTCTTATAGTTATAGGAACACAATTCATTTAAAATTTTAGCCAGATTAATTGCCATTGCATATTAGACTGTTGAAGAGGAAATAGTTACGTCTGGCACAAAGTACAATCTCAATCAAAGTTGATGAATGTTGAGGACATATACTCTTCAGTTTCCCTGGGAAATGTTTCCTGCCAGCATCCTTCTCCAGAGCTGGACCTCTGAGGGTGGGCTCCAGCAGGTATAGGGCAACTGGCAGTGTCTGTGTATGGGGTCAAAATATAATATTTTGAGATTCATTTTTAGAGACCTCAGAGTAAATTAATTTGTAATCACTCCTGGTATTTAATAATTCTGTAACTGGGAAGCAGAATCTTAGAAGTGGTACAGTGTAGAACTTTTAAGAAGGATTTGAAATTAGGACTTGTGAAGAAAATTTAATGGAACTGGGTTGAGTTTAGCGTAAAGGAGAGAACATTGCTGAGTAACCTAATACTTTGAAAACATATTCATTATGTAATGAGCCTAAGATGAAATTAAACCAGACAGTATCATGACAGAGCTCAGTTATCCATACTGTATATTCATCATGGGTCATTATAATTTTATATTACTGGGCTGTTGAGGTAGTACAGTGTTGAAGCAAGTACACTGAATTTGGGGTCAGGAGAACTGAATGCTAGATATTTTCTAGCTCTATCACCTAATAGCCGTATGACTCTTGAGAAGTCATTTAATGCTCTAAAACTCAGTTTTTTCAATTCTAAAATGGGAGAGAGGCAGGAATTGTTCTACTTACTTCATGGTGCTGTTTGGAAGGTTAAAGGAGATAATGGCTATTAAAGCTCTTTATTATCTATAAAGTTCTAGCCACAGGCACAGCAGGCCCCAGTGTTATATAAGTGTTCTTATAAAATGCAGACAGAATTGAGACTGTGGGCACTCCTTCCCCAGAGGTCTTTAAACACAGAGCATCTCCTAGTCCAGATGTCCTAGCCACAGACTTTCTGAAGGCAGGGGAATGAACCAGAACACCTTGAAATGTCATTCCACTCCAGGACTCTCAGCATCTGCTAATTCCCTCAAGCCAGTGTGTCAGAATAGAGCAGCCAATGTGATAGAAGTTGTTTTCTTCTTTTCTAATTTTTGGATAGTTTTCCATTCAAGTGGAATTGAACAAGACACATAGGGAAGAACACTGGGATCTAACCAAACACCTGCTCTGGGATGGATTTTCTCTCCATAAAGTGAGTTCTCCTGTTTTTTGCTGTAAGTTGACTTGTTTGGCCTGACTTCATGTGGCTTCTCTGTTGAAAGACATTGGACATATTTATGTCTGGGGTAGAACTGATTCCCTAGAGGACAGTATTTATTGATTTGTGAACTTATGAAGCACTGGACAGATTCTCTCCTTTGTAGATGGTAGAGATGCTTCCAAAGGTGCCCTTTGACTTATCCAGAAGGGGAACTATTATTGTCTTGGGTGTGAATGGTCAGTCTTCCTCACAGAGAGGTGAGAAACCAGGGAACATGACAGGGAGGGACTGGCAGCTGGATATTTTTTTGGAGAAAACCTAGCCCGATATTACCACCACTCCCTCCTGTAGCATAGTCTCTTTGTGTGGCCTTTTAATGGCTTAAAGAAGCTACTTTGCTGGTGAGCACAGAGACAACCAGCTCCACAAGTGAAATGGGAGTGTGGCGAAAGGGGAATGAAGAGAATAACAGAATATTAGAATTTGATGGGAAGCAGTAATCTTTTACCTCAGCCTCCCACCGAGTGAGGAATCTCAGAGCACCTCTGAGGTGACCACGGCTTCTCAGTCTCTGACTAATAAGCTACCTCCTGAGAAAGCCTATCCTGGCCTTGGTCGGACCAGGCAAGCCATGGGAAAATGAGCTCATTTTGTGGTGAAATCTTTCTCTTTCAAATTTTACTCCATGGTTTTCTGTTATTTCAGAGGATTCTAGTCCAAATCTGTTTCTTTCAGTTAGCAGTCCTTTCATTATCTGAAGTAAGTCCTCATGACTTACCTTAATTTTCTTCTCTGAATTAAGTCTGCCATTTCCTCCAGCCATTCTTGAAGAACATATATTTCAGATACAGTATATCTTTCTCTTGTACACACTGAAGTTTTGTAAAAGTATCCCTTTTCCTATCCTAGAGGTTATAGAGCCCCCACCTTTTATCTGGTTCCTAGAATGAGAACTATCTCATTTTAAGAGTTCAGACTTGAGTTGAGACCCATCTCATATAGAGGTGGATCTGATAATTTGTTCATGCACTGAGATGAGAAACAGGAACCTTCATTGTTGTCCTGGATGCTGGGATTATGCCTGATCAATGGTCCCAAAGGGGCGTCCTGTGCAATAACACCTGGCATACCTGAGCCCTGAGTTCACATGGAGATACCCTTTCAGAGATTTCAAATATTTCCAGTCCTGAATGGCAATTTTAAGAGAAGGCAAATTACCACATGTTCTCTACTAATCAAAAAAGTTTGCCAATGTCTCTCTCCTCCTGAAATCCGAGGAGGGAACACCAGAATGCCTGGCTGGTGGCTTGAATGGTGCACTGGCTTGCTCTGTATCTTCTTCTGGGTTCCTCCAGACAAGCAATTGCAGGATCCCTGGCTCCCAGAGTTAATATGGCTTCAGGCCACAGCTAGGAATTAGACACAGAACACAGAACCTGGCCCCAGAGGCTTATAAATGAGAGAAGGAGACACCAAAGGCTAAAATCACTTCCTAGCATTTGCTTTCATCCTTTCCTGTGGACTCTGCTGCACCAAAACCACGTCCTTCCTGTGAGACCCCCATCCCAGAACCGCTGAGGGCTCTTGCTCTTAGTAGTTACTAAGCAGAGTGTGGGATGCAGCACTGAACCTGTACATGGCAGTCCCTGTCTGATAGCTGACAGTAAGATGGCACAGCACAAGTCCGAGCCACCAAGCTCTAGAATGGGAGAGGTGGTAAATCAGCAGTAGTTTACAGGAGAGAAACAGGGTTAGAGATGTGAGTGGAGGGCCCACAGAAGAGCAGCTGCAGGGTTACATTCAGAAGCCAGGTCTGTTGACTTCCAATCCAAAACTCTCTTTAATATCATAGATGTAAAATTATATGTGGCATCTGTATCTACATTCATATGTGTATATATATATATATATGCGTGGCCGTGTAAAATTTTCTTTGTAGGAGGCTTCATTTCACTCATATGTTCTAATTTGATTCTCACAATAACCCTTCTGACAGTAAGGGAGCTGAGGCTTGATCACACATGCAAATGGTAGCAACTGGATTCACTTCCAGGCCTGGTTCCAGCTCCCTCTTCTTCCAGTTGCTGGGCATTGCTATTTGATCTCAGTGGGTATTACCAAGTCCTCTTCAGGACTCCTGTGGAACGACTAGGCATTAAGTCAATTCCTTCCATGGGGTACACACGGTCTTCTTGACACTGGGCAGGCTCAGCTCCTAATCTCTTTGGTTCTAGAGGACCCTGAACTGTCACATTTGCTAAAGAGTCAGCCCCTCTGCCACACGTGACTTTTTAGGTCATTACTGAATGGCAGTGGGAGACTTGAACAAATGCAGGGTCCTCAGAAAGTCAGACCAAGGGTGAGAATTTTAGAGCTGCAAGGGAGCTTACCAAATTTATAACATCCCTTGAATTTTGTAGATAAAGAAATTGAGGCCTAAGGATTTAGATTAAAGGATTTGCCCAAGTCATAATTATTTAGTAAACCAGAACCAAGTGTCCTGCTGAGGATGAAGACCAGGAATTCTTCACACTAGCCATGAACTGCTGGGAAGTTGAGAGAGAGGGGATAAAACCATCAAGAGAGTTCCTCTGATACAGGTATGATTGAGAGGGGGAAAAAAAGAAGCAATGTGCGTGTAGCCAGAAAACAGAGCCAGAATGTGAACTAAGACTGAAAATACAGATCTAGGGTGGGCTAAAAAACTCAGTAAGTGACTTCCCAGATTGTGTTTTGTTCCCATTGCACATACAGTTGGAAGCCAAATGCAAGCCACCAAGGTTGCAGTGCAACAGCGAACAATTAAAGCGCAAATAGTTGTGGGCAGCTGTGGGAGTGCAAGCCACCTGCTCCAAGTTTACAGCTTTGTTTAACTTGGTAAGCATTAAAAATGGAGTGGGAATACTCCCAGTACAACATCCCATGCCCTTTCTGGGAGGCCTTACTTGGGGAGCTGGGGTGGCTTTACCCTTGACCAGGCCCTTCTCACTGTGGCCTAGAGCTGCTTTCTATTGATAGTGGTCAGTGTTGTCAATAGCTCCTAACAGAAACTGGAGGAGGTAGGGAGTATCGCAGAATTATATATTTATAGAGTTTGAAGGGACCACAAAGCCCCAGAATATACCTTCTCTCCTGTTATTCAGATAAGAAAATTGAGATCCAGAGGGGTGATGTACCCAAAGTTACAAAGTTAGGGGCAGAACTGACTTTTAATGTCTGAACTTCTGATCCTTTGTTCAGTGCTCCTTCCTCTAAGCCCCACAAGGTTTATAAATAATGCCAAATAGGGAGTTATAGCATTAGAGAATGTTATGACTGGAAGGGACATTGTTCTCAATTCCCAGTGTTTTAAGTTGTCACATGACAAGGGGGTACTATTGGGGAGTGCATAGGGCCCAAGGATGCTAAATAGCTTGAAATGTGGTCATCCTGCATAACGAAGAATCCCAGATACCAAGAGTCACCTTGTTGAGAAATATTTTGCCCATCATTTTACATTATAGTTGAGTGATCCAAGCCTAGAGATAGAAGATGTTTGACTAGGGTCCCAAAGGGAGTCAGTATTCCCCTGACTCCATCCTACTGAGCCCCTGAGTTAATTAGCAGCACCCTTGGTACCTTCAGTAAAGGGGAGACTCTAGATCCTTCCCCACCCAGCTCCTGTTGCCCTTGCACCTAAGCTATTTCCAGGCCAGCACTTACTTGGACTTCAGGCCCTCCTGTCCATAGGGCTGCAGCAGATACTGGTGCACAAGCTTGTCCCTGAGAGTCCCAGCCAGTTTTATTTTCTTTCTTGATCTGTGCAGGTTGATGATAAAAAGTGTAATGGACCCTCGAACATAGTTGTGGCTGAGATTCAGACGAGAGAGAGAGAGAGAGAGAGAGAGAGAGAGAGAGAGAGAGAGAGAGAGAGATGGAAACAGTGGTCAGTTAAATGCTTCTAAATAATTTACAGACTGCATGAAACAGGACAGCCCTAGGAATGGGCACTTTATTTTATGGTTCTTGGCCACCCTAGGCCTTCAAAGACAGGAAGGGCTTATTATTGTGATTTTCTGCAAAGAAGATGCTCACATCTCACCGCACTCCATTTGTTTTTGTTTAAAAGCATTGCAATGATTTGAAAAAACAAAATATCTTTTTCTGAGTATGGAAGCAAAACATGCTAATTGCAATAAATAAATAAATAGATAGATAAATAAATAATTACATAAATAGAAAAAAATACAAAAAAGAAAAAAGAAAATTCCCATAATCCAAGTATTTTGGAATATAACATTTTGGTAAACATCCTTCCAGTAGTTTTTAGTTTATTAATTTAACAAATATTTACTGAGTATGTGGCACATGCATACATATTTCTCAGTCTTTCCATAACTGGGATCACATTGTTCACACAGTTTTTCCAGTTCATGAGCATCGTAAACATGTTCCCATCTTATTATATGATATATTCTGCTTATAAAAGAATGCTAGATTCTTCAATCATAGAAATGCAACGTAATTTATTTACCTAATGTCCTACTTTGGGGCATGGGGGTTGTTTTCAGTTGTTTGCCATTATAAATTATGTGATGAAGCACTTTGCACATAAACCTTTTTCACATCATGATTATTTCTGATGGATGAAGTCGTCAAAGTTGGAAACATTAGGTCAAGGGGAACGCACATTGTATGATTCCTCACCAACTCGTCATTCCGAGTGGTGGCCCTCCCTGTGGAACATTTTCTGTCCCTGCTCTGTTGAACCCTAGAGTGCTCACGTTATTGCCTTTGCTCAGTGAAATGTGGGTGGATAAGGCCTCTGGGCAGAAGCTTTAAGAGCCAACCCATGCTTTGCCATGCCCCTTTTCTCCCTGCCAGAAGATCAGCAATGTTCTTGGCAAGAGGGGCTCTATTGACCTGCATCCTGGAGTGAAGATGATGTGGAGCAGAGCTGCAGCTGAGCTGTGACAGACACACAGTGTGAATGAGAAATACATTTTCTTATTGAAAGCCATGGATATTTGGAGGTCTTCTGTTATCACAGCATAACCTCACTGATCCTAACTGATACACACATTTTGATAGCATTGATATTAATTCTCTAGAAAGTTTGTATCTTTTTGCTCTGGTTGACTATGTATAAGAACACACATTTCCTCATACCCTTAAGAACACTGGATATTAACCTGTCTCAACCTGAGAGGTGATAATGGGATTTCAATGTTGTATTAATATTTTTTAAAAATTCATACTGAGGTGCAGCATTTTTTTTCATTTGGCATTTAATTTCTTCTTTTGTAAACTGACCATGTCGTTTGCCTATTTTCTATTGGTTTATAAAAACTATTTATTTATTAAGGATAGTGATCCTTTGCCTGCATGTATGTTATTAAATGTCCCCCAGTTTTCTTTGACTAATTCAGCTTGTTTACACTGTATTTTATATATACAAGTTAAAACTTTTATGTAGTCAAGTTTATTGATCTTTATTATTTCTGCTCTAGCTGTTTTACTTACTCCTAGATTATAAAACTCTTCACCATTTTGGAATCCTTTTAAACCAGTACAGGATGTTCAGAAGCCTGCGAAAACTATATGCCTACATGGCCTTTCAGCGTATATCAGCAAAACTATAATGATTTCCTTCTCTCTTGTAGGAAAAATATTTTGTTTTTAAGGGGTCCCATAAGGCCCCATCTGGATGGGTTAATGAGAGGAAACAACAAATGACCTGGTCCTGCCTTCAAAGGAGGAGTTCAGAGAAACTCTACGTCAACTTTGCCCAGAGGAAAATACCATTCCTTGCAGAAACAGCACCCCTCCGCCTCTGGATCACTCATCTCTGCTTCTAAGGGTGATAATTAAGAATTGAGCCCTAGCTGGTTTGGTTCAGTGGACAGAGCATCGGCCTGCGGAATGAAGGGTCCTGGGTTCGATTCTGGTCAAGGGCACATGCCTGGGTTGCGGAGTTGGTCCCCAGTGTGGGGCATGCAGAAGGCAGCTGATTAATGATTCTCTTTCATCATTGATGTTTCTATCTCTCTCCCTCTCCCTTCCTCTCTGAAATCAATAAGAAAAATATAAAAAAAGAATTGAATGACCAAGGGCAGGTGAATATGACAACTTGTTTATTGGTTTTTAATAATATAGTTTCCAGGGCTCATGCCTGAATTTTTTTATTCCATTCATTTGTGATTGGGGCCTGAGAATCTGTATTTTTAATCTCTTTAGGATATTTGGCAGATGAGTTGGGTTTGGCGACATTTGCCCAGAGCGATCCATTCAGATTATGAAAAGAGTAACCAAAGTATACCCCACCAGCTCTCTGTCATGATTTTTCTTGCATGTGTAAGGGGGCATATTATTGTGTTCAAAGCTTTTTGTATGCCTACATTGATATTTTGATAAATTATTAAAGGAAAATGTCTCTTCTATCTGGTTCCCCTTCCTCTGGTCCTTCTCAATCCCCTGGAATGTGTGAATTAGCTTTTGGAACCAAATGAGTTAGGTCAGAAGAGAATGCCAATTTACTTGATCAGGCTTGTGTCACCAGAGCTCTGAAGAAAGATGCTCTGGTGTGTCAGCATTTCCCTTCATTACAGAACACCAGTGGTGGGCTTTAAGCTTAACTTAGCTGTGCAGAACCGAGGAAGACACCATTAACTACTGCTACTCTGGTTCAGAGTGTGAATGAAAGTAGGCATACATGGATACCAGTTTTGCTGACTATGGTAATCCCTATGTTAACAATCATCAAACAACCTTCTCAAAGGCCAACAGTGGAGGAGGAGAGAGAGCCCTGCGCTTGCATTTATGAGTTTCTCTTCTGCAGAGCCGGGGCATAAAGAGGCCTCAGAGACTGGAGAGCAGAAGGGTGGGAGGTGGGGAAATGGTGGGGGGAGGGGAGGGAGGTCTGAAATCACACATTGCTCCAGGGAAAGCCATCTTTTCAAGCTGCTTGGCAATGGCCTAATTTCCATTCACATAGTTCCCCTGAGGGAAACAAACCAGTGCTGAAAACCTGCCCAGAGATTGTTGTGCAGAGGCTCTCAGAACTCCTGCAGCCTCCTCAGGTAGGAACCGGCTTGAGGACTGCCTCAGCCAGACCTTCCCTGCTTGGCTGATGGGCAAGAGCATTAAGCAGGCCGTCTGACTGTGAAGACACACTTTTGGCTGGGGAGTACAGCACCAACCTGAAAGTACTGTGCTGAACATCCTGAAGCATGTATATTCTCTGCCCACAGAAAACAGTCCCTTTCCCTAAAAAATGGGGTCTGACTGAAGGTGTGGCCTGCAGGCAATTAGTCCAGGTGGTTTTTGATTCTCTTAATAAATGTCCCTTTTGTCTGGTAGAACATCTGTCTTGCTCCATGTCTCACTCATGGAGACATTTTACCACCAGCAGAGAATCCATGAATCTGGAGTTCATCTTTCTGGCTGTTCTCTCATTGCCTGACATCTCTGTGTTGCCATGGGAGGAGGAGGAAGTGAGTCAGGGAAGGGAAGCTGGAATTGGAATATCTTAGACGTAAGAGGTGGGGAATGTCATATGGGGAGGTGCATCTTGACTTCCAGATAAAAAACAGTCACTGTTCTAGAAATGTCTCCAGTGAAGCTGGGGGACTGGAAAAGGGAAGGGAGGGTGGATGATGCTCTGGGATCACAATCATTCTCAGGGAAAGTCAATGTGCTTGAAAACTGGGTTGGTCCATTGTCTCCAAATCTAATTCAAAGTTTTTGGGTTTGGTAAAAGTCAGGCCATGTTTTGCCAAACATTTTTTTTTTGCCCTAATTTCAAAGCCCATGTGTATTTTAAGGGAAATTTAATCCACATGTTTCTGATTCATTTACACTTAACTCATCAAAATATTGTTTTGTAAGAGCCATTTGATGTCCAAGAAGCCTCAGGAACCTTTTTTATGAGTCTTCTGAAAAAAAAACAGGAAGTCATGTTTTGCCAATAATAAATGAACTTGAACCCCAAAAGGCTCAATTTTGCTTCAATATTCACCAGGTTCCAATGTTCTGAACCTGGCTAAGGACCGCTGCTCCTCCCCAGAAACATACATTGCCTCAGCAGAATGGTTTCGAAAAAGGTTTCGCCCAGTCAAAACATATTTGTTCTATGAACAAGAAGACCTAAGGTGAGAACTGCCATGCTGTCACTGTCCTGACTTGTTACCTCTAGAACAGAAAGCAGAAAAGCACCTGCTGGTGGTGGTATGAGCATCTACCTTTTGCTCCCGAACCTATCATAAAAGACAATGCTCTCCTAGGTCAGAAATGACCCACAATGCAAGGCTCTGCCATGGGAGACAGTGAGGCAACAAGTAGAGGTTGTACAGTCATCAGAGAGAGTATAAAAGGAATGTCTGTGTTGCATGGGATCCTGGGCCAAAATATCTCTAAGGGTTCTTCTCAAATGTAAAGCTGTTTCACTATTAATGGTGTTATTGGCATATAAGAGTAACGCATTAGAACTGTGGAATTCAATATAAGTGCAAATTACTGGCAAGATGCTTGGCACATAGCAAGTGTTCAATACACACTGGTGTGCAGGAGTTGTGTCTATAGACACTTTCTTTGGGTTATTCTACTGGTAAGTTTACACTTTCTCACCAGTCCCTGATTTGACTAAAGATATATATTTTCAGACTACTGGTCAAGACTGAACAGTATGAAGCCAACATGCCCACTCTGGGACATTTTTGTGACCTTATCCTTGTTGGCCACAAATAAATTGAGTCAATAATGTTTCATGACTGTTGAAACATGAGTCAATTGAGTCATGACTGTTGTGGAGGATGAGGGGGTACACACAGGGCACCTGGCTTCCCAGAGAGGGAGCAGAAATACTTCTTTGCTTGTGCCTACTTATGTGGGGTATCTGACACCCATTGACATGGAGGAGACCAGCATTCTTACCCAGTGCAGTGCATCCATTGAGGATTTTCTTTTCTAAAGGGAACAAAAAGAACTTCACCCCAATTACTATCATTAGGGTCATGTGTGGAATGGATTAGTAAAGTCTCCCTTCCTTCCTTCCTTCCTTCCTTCCTTCCTTCCTTCCTTCCTTCCTTCCTTCCTTCCTTCCTTCCTCCCTCCCTCCCTCCCTCCCTCCCTCCTTCCCTCCCTCCCTCTCTTTCTTTCTATGTGGAGGAGGAACACTATTGATCAAAGCACAGTGGTACCATTTCCCCAGAGAGGTTCTGGAGTGACTCCCCATAGAAAGAAGAGGAGAGCTGGTGATGTAGAGACACTATTGAATCTAGGTGATTTGAGTAACTTGCTGGAGTCCTCATGCTAGTGAATTTAGAATTCTTAACCCTGCCACCACACCTTCTCCTTCTGGCTGATGTGGTGATATCAAAGTGGAAGGGAGCTAAAAGTCTAAGTCAGAAGTAATGCCTTAATGCCCTATTTCTGCATTCATTCATTCATTCATTCATCAAATATTTACTGAGAACTTCTTTATGCCAGTCACTATATTAGACACCAAGAATACAAAAACAAATGGGACACTGGCCCTGAGTTCATGGTATACTCAGAACATTAGTGACAACTTCCATGAAAACATAAAAGAACGTCAGGATGGACGCTTGGATGAGACAAGATGAGGAGCCCTCTGTGAAGACACTCAAATCCTGTTAAACCCATGCTATTGACATTTTCCCCTGAGTCCTCAGACTTATAGTATAAAAGCCACAGACTGTTGTGCTTCCCAAAAGAGACGAAAGGTGCCAAGAATAATTTTTCTCTGTTGAAGCTGGGGGTCCACTTTTGGGTGGTTACTCCAGGGCCAAGGTGGAGACAAGGAATACAATGTTTCCTTGTGTGGTGATCAGATAACTTCAGGCCCAGGCCGTAGAGCAGTCACTCTCTGTCAGGTATTGGACCGAGCTTCCTGTTGAGCAAAAGGGATGTTGAAAACCTCTGGCCTCTGGCCAAAGCAGTCTCCTCTCATCCACAATAGGGACCTGTATCTAAAGACAAGACAACTGGCCCCAGGCCTCCTATGCTCAGAGCGATTCTTTGAAAAATCTTATCATGATAAATTAACTGGCTTAGCTCTTCTCTCATCAAGGAAGGAGAAGGAGCGTCTGTTGTAACCTGACCGCTGGGGCTCTGTGCTATCCACTGCCCACATCAGCCCCTGATGGGCTTGCTGGAATGAAAGTATGGCTGGAGACACTTGTGCCTGGCCCCCACTCTGTTTCTCTGCGTTAAGAGAAAGAATTCTCTTTTCCAGGTCTGCCTGCTCTGCTCCTTAAACCTGAAGTGATGTAAGAAAGCCATTTGTAGTCTGAAGGGTTTGCATTAGGCTCAGTTTTAAGTTTTTACCCTTATGATACTCATGTTTTAAAACATTTTATCTGCCAAACTTTATTTACTGGTAATTACTTTTCCTGTTTGAAAGATAATTCTAATGACAGCCAGTGCTTCAGATAAGAAGGAGGACAGCTACACATTACCTACTACGCTGAGTTGTTGGAGGAGCAGCCCCTAAATCAGATTTTGTTTAACTTCTTAACCCTTAAAAAAGCTGAAAAGATTTTGAAAGGCTGAAAATGGCTCTGAAGCTGACATGACTACCTTGGGCACACCTTTCATCCTGGGGACCCCTGGTTTGGGATGCGCTGGTCTGGGCTGAGTTTTCAGCTGATAGCTCTCCAGCATGTCTCTTAGAAATGTTGACTTACCATCTCCAGCTCTGCTGGTGGATTGTAGGAACAGAGTTTATGTCTCTTGCTGTGGCTTAGCCAGAAGCATACAAAAAGGCCTCTTGGGCATTGTATCAACTGGCACAGAGGAAAAGCTCAGTAAATATTTGTTGGATAAAGAAGTAAATGAATAAATGGCATGCATTTTTATGAATAAATACTGTAAGTGTGAGAAAGGAGTTTACTTGCAGAAAAGCTATTTATCAGAGATCATTTGAAATACACAAAGAGCAGGTAGAATGTAATTCCAGAGGCAGTTTTCAGTGTCTTGAAGGGGTCCCAAAGGGCATGGAATTCTAAGAGGGGCCCACAGCTGAAGCCCCTAGGGTGGCTTCCTGTGCCATCGCTCTGAAGACTTACTTGTGGTGGTTTGTGCAGTGAGCATAAATCCTTAGTTTGTCCCGGATGACTCGGCCTGGCCGTGGCTTCCGCTGCAGCCCAGCCACGTGCACGGCCAAGACTTTGGGGCCGATCAAGCGCTTGTAGAGGAGAGAGAGCCAGTAATCCTGAGAAGAACAGAGACATGGAGTCAGGGGAAGATGCAGTTCAGGTGTTTGAGTACACATAGACCAGACAGACCAGAAAGTACTTCTTAGCAGGAGTAAAGCCTGACCAAGTGACTAACCCTGTAAGCATGGTCACCCGACAAAACGTTCACCCCAGGTTGGTAGTGAAGCCAGCATTGTCTAAACAAAGTGGCCTTCACATTCCTCATGGGGGAATGTAAGTGTGTGTATGTGTATGTGGGGGGAGTGGGGGACGACTCAGAGCCACATACAATCAAATGAATCAAATTTTCATTTGAAATAAGTTTCATATGAAATAACAACTAGTTGGAGCCTTAAATTTTCAACTTTATTTTCCTATGACTATACTTTCATACTGGTTTATGGCTCTGTTTAATTGTAGAATGGAAGATCTCCAATCTTTAGGATTGCTACCAATATGCAAACCCAAAATGTTATTCTCCAAATATTGTCACTGAAGACGCCTGGTGAGGTGTGAGGGAGATGAAGCTGTTCCAGGTAGAGACTCCAGAATAACATTTGCAAACCCTAGTGCTAATTCTGGGTCACCTTCAATAATTCTACAATAAAAAGAACAATTGTAAACTAAAAAGAATGTGATCTTTTAACTATTGCATGGTCCATTTGGAACTGATTAATAAATATTCAATCTGTAACCCACACATGTATTTGAATTTACAAAAGCCTATTTACCCAACACTTTAATTTGTCTTCGCTATTACCATATTTTGTTTCTGTATTTGATACAAATATAAAATTTGCATTTGCATCATGTAAACATTTATCACCTGTTATGGGGTAATGACTTCAGTGTTTACAACTCATCATGTAACACAGGGCTTCCTAATTTGTCTAGGGGCTCCCCCCCAACCCCCCCCGCCACCTCCTGCAATTCTGGAATTCAGTGAATTCAAGGTCTTTAAGACATCAACCATGTCTTCTCAGCCTTCATCTTTCCAGGGGAAGCCTCTGAATAATATTTTTATCTTTCCTTGTGTCGCCATCTATAACATCAGCTGCTTGAAAATGTCTGGTGAGTTGCATAAATCAGAACAAAGCCTCAAAGCCTCTTTGACACCAGAATAGATCCAAATCTACCCTGAGTAGTGGGCTCTAAACCTTGCCAGGCCATTTATCTTAATTAACTTTAAGTGGCCTTAGGATGACTATTACAGATAGTCTCTTATTATTTAAAATGGCAAATATTTCATCATTGTTAGGCAAATAGATACAAAATATCATTGGTTTAATTTGCTCTCATTTGATTACAATTTCTGTGTTTTTTATTGTTACTCTGTGATGTGTTTATCACAGTCAACCATATTTCTAATGAGATGTCCACCATTTTCTTACAGATTTGTAACATATCCTATATAATAATAATAAAAGGCTAATATGCACATTGACTGAATGGCAGAATGACCAGTTGCTATGATGCGCACTGGCCACCGGGGGCAGACACTCAATGCAGGAGCTGCCTCCTGGTGGTCAGTGCACTTCCATATGGGGAGTGCCACTCAGCCAGAGCTGGCTCATGGCTCGCCAGCGCAGAGGTGGTGGCAGGAGCTCTCCCACCTCTGTGGCAGCACTAAGAATGTCCAACTAACAGTTAAGGCCTGATCCCTTGGGGGCCTAAGTCTTTAGTCAGACATCCCCTGAGGGCTCCCTGGCTGCCAGAAGGATGTCTGACTGCAAGCTTAGGCTTGATCCCCTGGGGAGTGGGCCTAAGTTGACAGGTGGACATCCCCCCAAGGGGTCCTGGACTGTGAATTGGTGAAGGCTGGGCTGAGGGACCACCCCCCCAGTGCACAAATTTTTGTGCACCGGGCCTCTAGTCTTTTAATATTAGTGGTAAGAATCCTTTAGAATGTATGTGGAGCAAAAGTTCTGTCCAAGTTTGTAGTTTGCCTTTTATTACTTTTTATGACTTTTTTGACATGAAGAATTAAAAAAAATTTTACAGGAAAATATGTCAATCTTTTTCTCTCAATATCTTTCTTTTCTTTTATTCTTAGAAAGTCCTTCCTCACACAGGATCAGATAAAGCTTTACTTATATTTTTCTAGTTCTTATTGTTATTTTAAAATTTAATCTTTTAGTTCATTGAAAAATATTTTGGTGTATGATACTAGCCTTATTATTTTCTGAATACTTTACTGGTTGTTGTAGCATCATATAGTGAATAATCTATCCCTAAGTTCATCTTTATCACATATTAAGTTTTATATACATGTAAATATATACAAATATAAATAGTATTATCCTATATAATAAAAGCCTAATATGCTAAGTGTCTGGTCATCTGGTCGGCCGTTCAACCAATCAAAGTGTAATATGCTAATGATATGCTAAGGCCGCTCAAATGCTCACTATGACGTGTACTGACCACCAGGGGGCAGACACTTCAACTGGTAGGTTAGATTGCTGCTGGTGTCCAGCTGATCGGGACTGAGTGAGATGGGCCAGACACACCCTGGAGCCCTCCCGCGGTCCCTTTCTGTCCAGCAATTGTGCAGTGGTGGGGTCCTTTGGCCTAGCCTGTGCCCTCTTGCAATCCAGGACCCCTCTGGGGATGTCAGAGAGCAGTTTCGGCCCGATCCCACAGGCCAGGCCGAGGGACCCCACTGGTGCATGAATTCGTGCACTGGGCCTCTAGTATCTAGATATATAAAAGCCTAAGTGACCATCACAACCGAACGGATGACCAAACAGGCTGCATGGGGCGACTAGGCCAGCAGGGGGGTTAGTGAGGGGTGACCAAATGACTGAGCAGCAGGCTGCATGGGGTGACCAGGCCCTTAACTGGGGGGGTGGGGGCACGTGGGGGCGACCAGGCAGCGGGGGGGGGGAAGTTGGGGGCAATGAGGCTGGCGGGGGGGCAGTTGGGGTGACTAGGCCAGCAGGAGGGGCAGTTAGGGGTGATCAGGCAGGCAGGCAGGTGAGCGGTTAGGAGCCAATGGTCCCAGGTTGTGAGAGGGATTCCAGATTGGAGAGGGTGCAGGCTGGGCTGAGGGAAACCCCCCATGCATGAATTTTGTGCACTGGAGCTCTAGTCTAATAAAAGCCTAATATGCAAATCGAGCAAACGGCCCAATGACTGGTCACTATGATGTGTACTGACCACCAGGGGGAAGACAATGCAGGAGCTGTCCCCAGCCTGCAGGCCCGCTGGTCACCCCACAGATCTGCCCTGATTGCTGGCCAGGCCGGGGGACCCTACCTGTGCACAAATTTCGTGCACTGGGCTTCTAGTATTATATAATATGATATAGAATTATTTTATATAATATGTTAGTAATTATATAATTATATATAATATACTATATCATGTATGGTATATTATTTATTTTTTAAAATGTTTTTATTGATTTTTAGAAAGAGGAAGGGAGAAGGATAGAGAGATAGAAACATCAATGACAGAGAGGAACATCATCAATTTGTTGCTTCTTACACACCCCTACTGGGGATCAAGCCTGCAACCTGGGTATGTGCCCTGGCTGGGAATTGAACCTGCGACCTCTTGGTTCTTGGGTTGATGCTCAAATGCTGAGCCACGCCAGCTGGGCTGATATATCTTATTTTAATATGTTACATTTACATATGTATTTACATATTATATATGTATTATATTATAATCTGTAATACTGATTAAAAATATGTAAATATATGTATACTAGGGACCCAGTGCATGAATTCGTGCACCTTGAAAGGAACTATGGGCCGCAAGGCTGCGGTGGGCACAGAGGCAGGTCTCAGCCCATCCTCCATGCCCCTGCCCAGCCCCTCCTGTTATGGGCTCCGGTCCCCTGTCTGCCCGCAGTCCCGCTCCAGCTGTCGCCACTCCCATGCCCGCTCGCACCCGCTGACAACATGGAGCGATTGGGGCTGGAGCTAGCAGCAGGTGTGAGCGGGTCCGGCGCTGATCTGGCAGCTGCCGCTCTCAACCGCTGATGGCGCCGAGTGATTGGGACCAGCACTGGGCTCCGGCAGTGGGTACAAGCGGTGGCTCTGGCACCAGCTGAGGGTGTGAGCAGGGCCAGCGCCGGCAGTGGTGTGTGAGCAACGGCTCCGGCACCAGCAGCGGGTGCAAACGGGGCTGGCACCTGCAGCAGGTGCGAGCGCATAGCGGCGTGTGGGAGCAAAGAATTTTCAGTAACCACCAGAGGCTAGCCCTGATGACAGTGACTGGTGCCCTGCCTTGGTCTGGTGCCCCCTCTCACCTGCTCCACCATTCCGCTGTGGCTGATGCCCACCATGTTTCATGCCACCTGCTGTCGACACCTGCCATGTTCTGCATGCAGCTCCTGGTGGTCAGCGCACATCATAGCAACTGGTTGTTTGGTTGTTCCACTGTTTGGTCTATTTGCATATTAGGGAGATATATATAGTTCTGCATCTGGATTTTCTATTTTCTTCCACTGAACCCTATTTCTTTATCAGTTTCACATCATTTTAATGATTAAAAATTACATTTTAATATCTACAGGTTTAAGTCCATTTCATTATAATTTTTCTTTCTTTGTTCAAATTTTCCTTAATTAGTCATATCCATTTACTTTCCTAAATAAACTCAAGTAACTTTTTATAGTGTTTGTGGTTCTAGAGAACCTTGAGGCCTTAGTTTTATTCTATGTTTGGTTAGTCTGTTTATTTTCTATCTCATATGTTCTGCCAGGATGCTTATAGGAGTCACGTTTTATCCTTGATATTTGAACTTTTACCAGGAATGTGTCAATGTGGGTTTCTGCATTAATTTTCTGGTATTTGGGAGTGCTTTTGATAAGGAAGACTAAGGACTTTCTCCAACCTGTGAGAATGTTCTTTAAATAAAGCCTTAATCTTATTTCTTTCTGTTTGCTCCAGTCTCTGTTTCAGGAGTCTGTTAGATTTCCGTCCTCAGTTCTCCACAAGTATCATCTCTTTTCTGTTTTCTCTCTGCAAGAAGAAGTCTCAAGTCTGTCCTGCACATTGTATATTTA